TACGTGCTGAGGTCGAAAATGAACAGCGAATCGATTTAGCTAGTGAAGGTTTCGATTTGATAAATCATTTCGAACAGAGGATTTCAATGGTATCGGAGAGATTTGGATTAAAAAAGTCGAGGGGTATATATCACATCAGGAGAAGGAGGAGGAAAGTCAGGGAGTTCTGATTTGCGAAGTGTGGTACCTACTGATGCTAGTCTTGTAAACCAGGAGCAAAGATTGGAGTTTCGTCACGACAATCGTGCTGCTAAATGTGTCTTTTGTGAGAAAAGTCAACATGACAGTCCAAGTTGCTTCAAGGCACAAAGTTTTTCCTTAGAAAAAAGGAAAGAAATTTTGACAAAAAAGGGCGTGCTACAGGTGCTTAAAAGTTGGCCATCAATCTCGCAGGTGTTGTGCCCGTCTTAGATGTATGTTTTGTGGCAAATCTCATGTAGTTTTGATGTGCCCTGAATCAGGATCAAATAAGTCGACTAAACCAGGTGAAAATGGCACATCAAAAGAAAAGGACACTCCTGAAATGCAGCTTTCTTGTACCAGTGGCCCCGAAAAGCATCATGTATTTTTACAGACCTTAAGAGTGAAAATCAAGGGTAAAAATGGCATTAAGGAAGTGAAAGCTTTGATCGATACCGGATCCCAACGTTTGTACATTTTGAAATCCACAGTACAGGCTTTGCAACTTGTGGCCAAATCAAAGGAAAATATTATGCATTATCTATTCGGAGGAGTTTTGTGAAAACAGTAATATTTATGAGATTAATTTGTCGCAGTATAATGGTTTTGCATGTAGATTTGATGTGTTAGATCAACCTAAAATTTGCAGCGAGGTTCCTAGTGTTTTCCCCGGACTATAGATGGATGAGCTGAATGACTTAAATACTGAAATTAGTGATGTGAGACTTTGGACGACTGTTGAGTTATTAATTGGGTCAGATATAGCCGGAAAGTTTTATTTATTTATTTATTTATAAACATGTACAATTATTATAATAAATTACAAACATGTTTTCTAAATTATCCCACATAAGCTTGAGAGCTTGTGCGTGGGAATAATGATAATTAATAAAAAAAAACAAAATTTGTTGAGTAGACTAAACTCTAGCAGTTACTTAATAAGTTCACTATGTATAATCAAAAACAAGAAATAAAATGAGTTACTAATATATTACAAATCAAATAAACACTACCGATCTTGTCAGCACTACAAGGCACGGATACCAGAGAGTCACCAACAGAATAGATATATTGGTATTTAGATAATATTGCGATAGGAATGGTTTGATATTATCCATTTTTTTATTAAATATTTAAAGCGCATCATTGTGACATTTTTTATATCCACAGGTAAAAGGTTATATAGTTTTGGACCAATATAAAGTAAACAATGTTGTGTTAATTTAAATTTCATAAACGGTATGCTTGAATCTTGTCTTGAATAGGCTCTAGTAAATATATTGTTACAATTATTATTACTTGTCGATTTTTTGTATTTATGCATGTATATTATTACACTTCTCACGTATAGTTGACGTATATCCAGTACCTGAAACGGCTGTATGTATGTATGTATGTATATCCAGTACCTGAAAACTTGCAAAGGTTTCCTTAGTGGAAAAGTGATATGGTTTAAATAGAGCTATTTTTAAAATAATTTTTTGTGCTGTTTCGATTTTCTTTAGTAATGTTTTATAAGCAGAGCCCCACGCTGTAATGCCATACTGTAGTAAACTCTGGCCAAATGCAAAATATATCCTTTTTAAGGTTTCAAAATTCATATATAATCTTAATTGAGTGAACAAATAAAACAGCTTTCTGATATTGGAAGTTAAAATGTTAATATGATTATTCCATTTTAGATTGCCATCCAAATGTAAACCTAAATATTTTGTAGTATTCCGATATTGAACATAGCCACCCTCAATGTTTATATTTGTAAGTTAAAAAAAAACTCTCAGGGACATTAAATGGAACTTCCACGGTTTTATTCGCATTCAGAGTTGGTAATTCTCATCCAACCAACATTTGACTTCGTGCAGTCCTTGATTTGCCATTATGACCGTTTCTTGCCACGTTCTCCCTTCAAATAGGATTACGGTATCGTCCGCATACGATATCATGTTTCCACTATTTAGCTTTATTTCCAAAAAATCATTTAAATATATTAAAAAGAGAACAGGACCCAGAACAGTACCCTGAGGAATACCATAATTTACAAAATTTGAAGTACTAAGCACCCCGTTAACTTTTGTGATTTGCACTCTTTCTGTTAAGTACGATTGAAAAAGTGTGCTTGTATTCCCCAAACTCCCACATTTCCATTTTGTGTATAAGACGTTTGTGTGGTATCGAATCAAACGCTTTTTTTAGATCTTAAAACACTCCAATCGTCTTTTTGTTGTTATTAATATTATCATAAACATGCTCTAGAAGCTTGTTGATGGAATCACTTGTACAAGTGTTTTTCAAAAAACCAAACTGTTTGGAAGATATTATTTTGTATTTTTTCTAAATATGATACTAAACGCGTTTTAATCAGTTTTTCAAGTATTTTTGTGAAATGATTCAGCAATGTAATTGGCCGATAGTTCGAACATTCGGCTTTGTCTCCCGATTTATATACTGGAACTACAAGAGATGCTTTTAATTTTGATGGGAATTTTCCGGATATAAAAACTTGATTGAAAATATGAGTTAGTGGGAGACATATGTATTCACTAGCAATTTTGATGTTTTTAACGTCTATATTATCAAATCCTGAAGCAGTATTATTTTTTAGAGACTGTATAATGCTTTTTATCTCAGATGTATCAGTAGGATTTAAAAATAAAGTTTGTCCTTGCCGTACCGTATCAGCATACTTGTTTGTTTTTACACTAATTTTTTTGTATAAACTCTCGCCCACATTAACAAAGTAATTATTAAAATGATTTGCCACTATCCGAGGTTCTGAGAGTAAAGTATCATTTCTTTTGATAGAAATGTTTTTTTCATTATTATGACAGTCTCTACCTTTAATTTCATTTATTTTAGTTATATACAGGTCATTATTATAGTTATATACAGGTTATTATAGTTATATACAGTTATATACATTATTTAGTTATATACAGTGTAGTATTTTTTATTTCCTTTAATAAAATTGAATTTAAAAATCAATTTTTTTTTAAATTTCTTAGTATTGGCGCCATCTATTTGCTAGATGCCAAAGATACCAAACTCCATTGGTTACAGCTCACTTGTCACGATATTTAATTTTTATTAGCGCATCTATTCGCTAGATGTCAAACTTCATTTATTACAGTTCACTTGTCTTGTTTATTAGCGCCATCTATTCGCTATATGCCAGACTTCCTTAATTGCATTTCACTTCCGTCCGAATCTCACTTCGCTTTGGATTGCGATTTTCTGTTCTAATGATTTCGATCATATGATGTCACATTTTTCTCTCTCATTTTGTCGGTGGGGAGAAGTTTTTGGGCTTCAGTTCTGAAACTGAGAAGGTCTTTCTTTCTGGGAATTTGGATCTGAAGAAGATGCGTGTGTCGGCGTCCGACAAATTTTCCAGTGAAAAGCACTCTGAATCCACTTTTCGATTTCCATTGCATGGGTGTCCGATTTGGAGATTTGAAAACCTTGTAAAGTATGCAATCCAGAGTATAGACCGTATTTGTTTGGTTTCTTCTTGGAATGATCACCGTAAGTTTATTCGCCATTTTATATAGCCCTATCTAACTAAATTCTGTTTCAGTTATTTCCGTTTTTATTTCGTTTATTTGAGTATTTAATTACTGGTTTGGATCGGCATATGGTTTGAATATATTTATGTAAAGCTGATTTTCAGACCGTAAGTTGTTTTTTTATTGAGTATCTGTCCTGAGAACTATTTTTTATTTATAGAGTAACTACCACATGGTACTCAGTAACTACCACATGGTACTCAGTAATTACCACATGGTATGCAGTAATAATGCAGTAATTATTGTATGTTTCACCCACTTTCATTTTGTATGGACCTATGCAGACCTTAAGACAGTGTTCCTGACATTACAATCGTTCTTTTGGCTGATATTGAAGACTTCTCCTGCCATAGTCATCTGCATCCACTTCTGTTAGTCTGGAGAATACCTAACTACTTGTTTACATCATAAGAAACTATATACAGATAAGTCTCTCTCTCTCTTAAGTTTGATACACAAGGTACACTTTTATTTTATAATTTTTGAGACAACAGATTTAATAACCTGGTAAATTATCACTATTTATCCCACATATTGTAGTCAAAGTTATTTTTTATTTAACGTTATAAGTTATAATTTGATTCGTACAGTACACTCTTACTTAGATATGATATTTTATATGAAAATTATTAACACGTATTCATTTTAAAGGTTTTTGTACACGACATGTTTCGAAACATCATCGTATTGAGACATACATAAATTTCACCTGTTTTTATATTAAGTAGCTTACTTAGTTCAAAGAATACAGTTACTAAATTCAAATCTATTTAAAATAACTTGCGGTTTTATTGGGATCACTGTGACTAATTGATGATACTTGTGTTCGTTTTCAATAAATGTTTAATGTAGGATAGTTATTTCTGACTTTTATTCCTGATAAACATAATAGACCCTTAATGCTGTTGATTACTTTATTTTAGCTATGTTGTTATATCGTATTTTTCTTTTTGGTTTCTTACTTTACCACTCTCATAAACAAAGTAAGTGGCGCCCTTTTCACTGTCTTTGACCATACCTATTTAAATTCTTAACATCAATATTAAAATCTCTGCAGCCTACATATTATCATTTTTTTATTTTTTAACAACATTAGAAAGTCACTGTGAGTCGGAAGCCTTACCTACGAACCCAGCTTTCCTCTAACCCTGAGCAATGGATTCTTTTTTCATTCTATTTTGGTAACGACAGAAAAGTTGTCACAACAGGTCGCACACAAAAGCTCAGCTCTGGATTAATAGCCATAGAAAAATAGTCATGGGCAAAGTCCCTATGGAGCCTGGTGAAGAAAATGTATCCCACAACGTTTTAAGTTGTTTTGTGATGGATTCCAACATAAGTAATCTATGGGAATTGGATGTACTAGGCATCACAGACCCTGTGGCCAATAAAAGTAAGCTTGATTTGGAAAATGCAGCTTTAGAATTTTTTAAAGAGACTGTTCAAGTAAATGAAGAGGAGAGGTATGAAGTAAGACTTCCGTGGTTGGACGGACACACCCCGCTTCCCACCAATCATTCTATTGCTAAGAAAAGGCTTGAAATAACATTGAAGAAACTTTGTATTAATCATGTGATGCTGTTTTCCAGGAATGGCTTCAAGAAGGTGTTATCGAACTCGTACCAGACAGCGATAATAACATGGGTCATTATCTACCACACAGGCCTGTAATAAAAACAGCTTCCAGCTGCACAACTAAAATCAGACCCGTTTTTGACGCTAGTGCCAAAATGAAAGGGAAAATTTCATTGAACCAGTGCTTGGAGAAAGGTCCTAACCTCATCGAGCAGATACCGGAGATTTTAATAAGATTCAGGAAAAATAAGATTGGAGTGACCTCAGACATCAGAAAGGCCTTCCTGCAGATAAGTGTACATCCCACAGATCGAGATTTTTTAAAATTTATTTGGGTCGATTTTCAAGGAAATGAAAAGGTGTACCGGCACAGGCGTGTTGTTTTTGGTGTGACAAGCAGCCCCTTTTTACTCGCAGCCACTATCAACCATCACCTTCTTTTGGAAATAAAAAAGTATAATGAAGGTACTTCTGTTTTTGACTATTCCATACTTACGACTTTAGCTAAATGTTTCTATGTGGACAACTGTGTAACCAGCGTACCGGATCTTGAAACTTTACAGAATTTTATACGTCAGTCCAGCATGGTTTTGGCACAGGCAAAATTCGAATTAAGAGGGTGGGAGTTTTCTAATCCTACACAAGTTATTTCTGGTGGATCCAATGAACCCACGCCTCTCCTAGGGCTTATCTGGAATACCCGGACTGACACTTTAGGTATCAACAAGGAATGTATTAGAGATTTGGAATCTCTTGTGGATAAACCATTTACAAAGAGGATCATGCTGTCACTAGCTCAGAAGTGTTCGATCCTGTGGGATTTACGTCTCCAACTACCTTGATTCCAAAGTTGTTACTCCAGAAAACGTGAAAAGAAAAACTGACCTGGGATACTGAAGCTAGTCCAGATATGGAGAAATCGTTTCGAGATTGGACAAAAGAGTTACCTATTCTGATCAATATACAGGTTCCTCGTTGGATAAATGGGCTTGATAACGAAAACGGGATGAGGTTACACAGGGTGTTCTGCGACGCAAGTAACAATGCCTATACCGCGGCAGTATTCTTGAGGTGTGTCTATCAAGATAAAGTTTATGTTGCTCTTTTGGCTGCTAAAAGTCGAGTTGCGCCATTGAAAATTGTGACTATACCTCGAATGGAGTTATTGGCGACAGTTATTGGCACTAGATTATGTAATTCTGTAAAGGAAGCTTTTGAACTTGAGTTGAAATCTTTTAACATTGAAAATGTTTCTGATATCCTATATAAGGGAGCCCAAATCGAATTAAAATGCTACATTTGCCACACCATGACGTCATATATACAAGGGTATAGGAAATGTAGGCGCAGCGACGGCAGTCGGCCAGCGCGCGCAAAAACCATTACATCGTTAATTGTTTATTGATATATCTTTATTAGTTTAAAAGCAAAAAATATCGGGTTTGCTTTGGTACCTTGTCAAGACATAAGCGAAACTTTTAAATTGTTTCTTTTTTTCATTTAGGCCTTCGTTTTTCGTTAAATGAAAGTTATATTAAAAAAAGTCTATTTTCAAACCAAATTTTCGCATGATTGAAATGAGTTATTCATGTTTAAAGTTTTTTTGGTCATAAGCGCTAATGGAAATGTTTTTTGTAAATAATTATAAAAAATTACTCCCTACGAAGACTTTATTGTGTACTGGATCAAAAAATAAGTATTTGTTTTCTCTATACGGTGGTATTAATATATCGATTTTTGATGATAGTGCCCTTTTACCCGGTCTAATTTTGTACTACTTTCGGAATAAGGGTCCCCATATCATGTACTGTACTTCCATCCCTGAAAAATTCAGCTTGTGACACCGAAGTGAGACGTAAAGTCAAGATAAGCTTTAATCTACCTACATCATAGGTAGGTGTAGGTACTCTAGGTATATTCTACCTAGACAGTAGCTGACAGTAGTAATTAATTTGTTATCCGATAAGTAGTTGTCATTATATAAGTTTAATCATCTTATACCTCCTATAACGGTAGGTTTTGGATTTTTTCCTGATTGGTTTGTTAAACAAAAATATACTGGGCATATAAAGGTCTAACACAATACATGTATTGAATGTACTTATTTTAACCAATGCATTGTTTTGTTTTTTTAATCTCACAAATAAGAAATGTTTTATAGTTTTTATTATAAAAAATCAGTGATTATACAATTTATTTGCACCCCTTTCACTGTTTTCTGTAAGGGGTGTAACCAGGAGTATATTTCGTAACCTCTTACGATATAAGAGAGCACAAAGTGTTTTATTACTTAATGCTTAGATTAAGATTTAATAATATATTTGTACATAAAATAAAATAGACTAGAAAGTCAGTTAATTAATATTGACGTAATTACTAAATAATACAAGATTTTTTTTCTAATTATTTTAGTGTATATTTAGTCACCGAATTATAAAGGAGAGATATCCAACCATTGCATTATTTTACTCACAAATAAATGTTTTATGGTTTTTATTATAAAACAAGGATTAATTTATTATACACCTTTTAACCCAAACACTCCAAGGAGGATATTTCGTGACCCCTTATTTAAAGTGGACAAGCTTTATTAGTCAATGTTTTAATTACCCAGCGTCTTTAATAAAAATCTAATGTAATTTTTCATAGAAATGATCTGACATAAAAAGATTTAAAGATAAAAGACATTTTATCTAAAAACTTCTTGATTATCTACAAGGAGTAAACTGCTGACAAATGTCTGTATACTAATGCCAAAGTAATGCCAAAAATACAAATTAAATACCAAAATTTCTCATATAATGCTCCACTAATGCCAAGCTGATTCCAATATAATACCACTAATACCACGAATAATATGTAACACATTTGTTTAACGAATTAACCTGTAACAATAGTGGTAGGTACGTGCACAGATTTTTTCCTAGGTAACTTAAAAGTCGTTAAAAAGTCTAATTATATTTAAAGAAGATATAATTCCAACTAATTGCATTATAAGGCCCGTTATACACAAGTAATACCATTAAAATTTTAGCGTTTTTAATTTGTGTAACATATTTCTTTAAAAAATTAACCTGTAACAATAGTGGTAGGTACGCGCACAGATTTTTTTCGCTAGGTAACTTATTAAGTCGTTAAACAGGCCTATAAAAGCTATAACAACATAGGTAACTAATATTTATAATTTTATTCGAGTTTTAATCTCAAATAATAAATGTTTTTACTGGTGTATTTCTGAAGTGTTCATTGTTAAAAGTAGATATTCTTCAAGTTATGTGAAGTAATAAGTAATGTTTCCGGTGAGACCGCGTATATGTCACCGGATTCTGGTTAGTTTAAAGACTTTTTTCTATAGAAAGATTTTTTTCTATATTTTTCTTTCAAAATAAGACTAATTTCTTCTTATTCTTTTAAATATTACAGTGTTTCTTTTTCCTAAAATGTTATACTTAATTTTAGCTTAAAATTAAAAAATCACAAATGGAGGAAAATATACGTTATTGAATAAAGTTTATACAAATCACTTTACCATAACAAAAAAGTAAAAACATGTCATGGCGGAAGATATTCAGGTGGCATTTCACATATTTATCTATTAAAATCGAGATTAAAATAATAAACTTGCGTAACATGTTATACATGAGATAGAAAGTTTCAGAATCGATTAATACGCAATACGCTACGCAGTCATCTTGTTCCTATGCGCGGATGAGCGTCCTCAAGACTCTTCCATCGGCCAGGGTCACGACGCCGCGCGCCGCCGAAGAGGAATCGGCCTACGTTTGGCTAAACAGGCTGGACACGGTGGACTACGATATTGGTGAGTCTGAATATTTATAAAAATTTGCAAAGTAAAATATGTTGGAAAAATAATTAATCCATACATAATATATTAAAGCTCAAAGGGTTTTTTTTGTTGCATCCATCCCGCCGAAACCGCTTCACCAATCTTGATAATTCTTTTTTTAAATGTGTAGATTTGTTATGAAGTATTTTTATAGTGCTTAATGGCTATTTCTTTGTGTAAAACGACTAAATATAAAACATACCTGAAAAACACCTACACACAATACCTCCAGAAATAAATTATTTGTCATTGTCAGTGGTGTGTCAGTTAGATTATATATTAAGTTTTTAGATATTTTAGGAGTGAGATCATACCGCCAGCTTTAGATACATAAATATTAGCACAAAGGTTCGTTTAAACGACATTAGCGAATTAGCTACACAAAGAGATTGTAACGTTTTTAGTTCGTTACATGTCTTTTTTATATATGATATATATAATGTCTGGCGTATCGTCATCGGATTCCGTATCGTTCAGGCCTGATAATTTATTTGGCACGCTTGGCGTAATTTTTACGTTCCCTAGTCGCCAACCCTGTTATCGTTTGACACAACCCTGTTATCGCTCTCTGGAGGCGCGGTCAACATCGCTTCTGTCAACTCTCTGTACTGTCGACTGACTTTTGCTTTTAGCGCTCTGTAGCCTAACCTAACCATCCCGGCTTTTAGAAATGGTGATTATTTAAATCTTGCTGTATAATCTGAATCAGCTGCTATTTCAAAGCAACAGGTAAAGATGAAATATTATCCTTTTAGATTCGATATTATTACTGCATATTTTTAGGGTAGAGTTTTGGATGTCCCAACCTAACTTGTATTTGTATTTTGCTGACACGTTGGCGTCCCTTTTCTTTTGTCCTCCAGAATGTCACATGGAAGAAAGGACATGTTGTTTATTATTTAGTGAGCCCTCGGAAGTAATTCGAGGTAGGTTCATTTTGTTTATTAGATCTTGTTTGATTTTAAACAAGAGTTTCGTATTTTAGGGTCCAAGGTACGGACTATTTACAAGGTACGGGCATTATCCAAGGTCCTAGTAGTAGCCAAGGTACGGGTAGTGTTCCCCTGTACCGTTATCTTATGGACGGACTATTTTCAAGGTACGGGTAGTGTTCCCCTGTACCGTTATCTTATGGACGGACTGTGTCCAAGGTTATGGTTCAATGTTATGGTCCAGGTTAAGGACATTATTCAAGGTCCTAGTAGTGTTCCAAGGTACGGGTAGTGTCCCCATATTGCCACAGTATGGATACAGCGTAAACCCCATGCTGCTTCGCTCCCATTTCTAAGCCTAGTCAGTAGATACGGCTGTGTTGATTCATGGTGTCCTCATTCTGGCCCCTTTTGTTGTTTTGGCCAACAGGATCGCCGAGAGACAGTGCAGAGATATGAGCCCACCTCACGCTGCTACTCTTCGAAACAGGATTGCCTCAAGAACAGCTAAGTGTAGATTTAGGTTCTGGTTTTCAGTCGATTTTCAGTCTTAACTTAACGTACATTTTAAACGATATCGTACAGACTATATTCAGTGGTTCGATTATTAAGAACATTTATGTCGATTTAGTAGTTACAATATGATTTAGATTTTAGGTTTCATTACATTACGCCTTGTAATAGTATTACTTTTTTATAGATATTATTATTGCACTAACATCATATAAAATATATCAAATTAATTAAAGTAATGCTACATTTCATATATTCTCTTAAACGTTACATGTCTTGTATTTTATCATAGTTGTTTTCATAGATATTTAGTACAATTCTTAACACCACTTTCGTTGACATATAACCACTATAATAATTATTAAAATTGTACAATGCTATTTACCATCACAGTCCATCATGAATAAATATAGTCATTAGTTTTAAGTAATATACAACTGTGTTTTCTTTCTCTGTACATGCCTGGCGCCCAATATCTGTATTTTTTTGTTTATTGTTATTAATTAGTTCTTTTCAGTGAAATACCTTATCCACGACTGCTCTCCGATGAAAAGCTGCCGTTCGCAGTGGTAATGTTTATAAAAAAACGCTACAAGATTTTAGGAAATTCATCCTCTTAGAGAGAAAATTATGTCGGAATAGTTTGTTGTATGAAAATTCCTTACTATTTGGTCTAGAAGAATGAAATCCTACGAAAAGAATTAGAAGAAATTTTTGAAATTCATCAACCAAATGGGTAAAGTTAGTAAAAATTTATATAAAACTTGGTGATCTCTGGATTATACACATAAAAATTGGCACAAAGATAAAGCGAATTTATGAAATTTATACACTTAGGGAGTAGAATAGGGAATGAAAGTTTGCTGTACGAAAATGCAATACTATAACATTATAAACCAGACAGTATAAAATTTTATTCAAGGGTTTATTTAGTGACATCATAACGAAATATATCTTCCTCAATTATCCTTCAAAGAATAAAAAATAACCTATAAAGAGAGTATTAGTGCTCTTAATAAATAAAAAAAAGTTGAAAAATAAAAAAAACATCTATGCTCACTAGCTCTCTATAAAGAAGTAAAAAATCATTTAAATCAATGCATGAACGACTCGAGGTGTAACGCGAACGTAGTCGCGGGAAAAAGCTAGTAATTTATTAAATTATTTTATTTAACTGATTAATTTTCATTGAAAAGGAATTTTCGTAATTCGCCACTATATTAGTTAAAAACTAAGAAACTCATATCAATTTTAAGTTTTGCGATTTTGACTTATACTTTTTACAAAATCTGAAAACATTTTAAAAGAAAAAAAGCTTTTGATAATATTTGTGTAGATTGACTACAAGTTGTATAACATAAATTTCTACGACCGTGTACCTAGTGGTCTGCAGCATCGCCTTGTGGTGCAAACGTGGGCTTGTGAATCTGTGACGTGACGCACAACAGCCAAGAAAAACAGAAGCGTGGCTAAGAATTTAGTAATTTAAAAAAAATGTCTTAGATACAGTAGTAGGTATTAAAAAGTTTTTGTGTTTAAATGGGGTTTGCCTTTAACAGTTAAAAAATTATATCGTAAAGTGTAACTTTCCGTAAGAATTCTTTATCTGTCATCGATCATGATCTGTCATCATGTTAACCTGATGTTTTGTATGTTATTTTGTTTTTTTGCTTGTTTGTTTTACGGATAGGTGCGATCGCATAATTATTATTGATAATGTTTTATTTAATGTTAACATTACTACCTTTTCAGTGAATCTTTAAATCTGTTGTTTTTTGTTAAGTTCGTTATTTAAACATATGTATGTAATACACTCATATTAACACTAATCATATTTTTACGTTTTTATTCATCATTTTCAATGCCCCCCCGGTTGCATCTTTGTAAAGGACTGTGAATTTTTTCTGGACTGACTGAACAACAGTGTTGTCATGGATCAGTAGACATGATGAGTGGGGCACTTTTGTAGGCAATAGAGTGACTGAGATCAGGAAAACTACTACAACAAATGACTGGCACCATCTCCCTGGATTTCAAAATCCGGCGGACCTTCCATCACGAGGATGTTCACCTCGACAGCTATATGAATCGAGATGGTGGAAGGGTCCCAATTGGCTTCAAGAAAGTCCTGCTTTGTGGCCTCAAGAAACTGTCACCTACAATGAGATAGAGATAACTTCTGAAAAGAAGAAATGTATTGTAGCTAGTTTGGTCAATTCCGAGGCAGCTAAGAGTATGGTGGAATGGCATTTGACATATTTCTCAAGCTACCTAAAAACTGTTCGAATGACTGCTTGCATATTGAGGTTCACACATAATGTTAGACATTCAGAAGATAAACGTGTTGGTGAGCCAAAGAAATGGACCAGGCAGAAATTCTCGTTTTGAAAGTTGTACAACAGGGAAGTTTTGCAAAAGATGATCAGCGGCTGAAGACATTGGACGTATTCCGAGATGATTCTGGCATTTTACGTTTGAAGTCTCGTATTGCCAATCGTAAAGACACTGTATTCTTTCGCATGCCGATAGTGCTACCATCTCGCCATGTCGTGACAAAGAGACTCGTTTTTGATTCTCACAGGAGGTCTTGTCATGTAGGAGCCCAAGGTTTAGGGAGCTTGTTAAGAGAAAAGTATTGGATATTGGGCGGAAGGAGTTATATTAAAAGCATTATTTCAAAATGTGTGGTGTGTCGGAGGCAGATAGTTAAGGGTGTTCAAGTCCAGAGTCCACCTCTTCCCGCAGACCGAGTTAATGATGCGTCAGCATTTCAGATCACTGGTGTGGACTTCGCTGGTCCTCTGCATCTTAGAACAGGGGAAAAAGTTTGGATCTGTATTTTCACGTGTGCCATTTATAGAGCTGTACATTTGGAAATAGCTAGTTCATTATCTACTGAGTGCTTTATCAAAGTTTTAAGAAGATTTGTCCAAAGATTATATATAGCGACAACGGAACCAATTTTGAATTTTTTTATTATTTTTGATTACTGAAAAGGCTGGAATGGAGAGAAGTTGAAAGATTTGCTAAGAATATTGCGTGGCGCTTCAACCCCCCAACAGCTGCTTGGTGGGGCGGGTTTTGGGAGCGGCTTATAGGCATTTTAAAAGGACTGTTACGAAAAGTTCTTGGACGCGCAGCGCTTAATTATGAGGACTTACTAACCGTGGTATGCGACTTTTTGACCTCTGACATATATATCCTCGACTCTCGACCTCTGACATATATATCCGAAGACGAGAGTGAATTGGTACCGCTTACTCATGTAATGTTTACGCGCGACTTGTCAGAAGATACTTTACCTGAATGTGACTTTGTAGCTCGATCCTCATTATGCCGAAGAGTAAAACGAATGCAAAAAATTCGGGACAATTTACGGTTAAGGTTCCGTAATGAATACTTTGGGCAGCTTCGAAACATCGCGCGTGTTAAATCGCCTAGACAAATTAAGATTGGCGAAGTTGTGCTCGTCGGTAATGATAATACCAAGCGGATGGACTGGCCACTTGGTCGAACTACCAAAGTTTTACCTGGTAAAGACGGTGCTGTATGTTTAGTGCGGGTCTCCACTACGAATGGAGTGATGCTACGTCCTGTACAGAGGGTCTACGCCTTAGAAGAGACCGGGGTACCTGCTGACATCCGGAACTCAGAAGCTCAAACGGCTCCATCAGAGGCTACCAGAACCATCCAGAAGTCATCCGCGATCGGGAGTGTAAAAAGCAGAGCACTCGATTCGAAAACTAGTGATTTCTCAGACGAGGAAGCGAGTGATGTGTCTTTTCCGGTAAACGGGAGTGATCAGAGCAGAGTACCCGCCGTCCCTAAAATTACGCGTAGTGGAAGAGCGATAAAGTTACCTGTGCCGTACAAAGACTTATTAGAGTTAATATTTTACTTTAGGGTTTTTTGTGTGAGAAACTTATAGTTTCTCAGGTGGGAGAATGTTGAAACACACAAAATATTACCTATGTGTTATTTTTTCTGTTTCGATAAGTTGCTGCGGAAACTTCCATTTGTTTATAAAAGTAGAAGTTTTTGAGTTCATCGCGAAAAAAGTTTGATTAATGTAATGTCAAGTTTTTGTATTAGAAATATAATCCTTCTCTCGGAGATAATGTCACGCGTTTTGGCCTTAGCTCGGCTCCTTTAAATTAAAAAAAAAGAAAAAAAAATTTAGAAAAGAAGTAAAAAAAATACGAAGAAGAAAAAAAAATATTATTAAGTTAGCGATTAAGAAAAATAAATATTTATGGAATTTGCAGGGGTCTAGTCGCGAACAAATTTATGCCCTAGCTCATAAAATTCGGAGAGTAGGGGCGGGTTAAGAGCGCCACTTACTTTAGACGGAAAAAAAAAGTTCAGAAATCCCCCAAGGGTGTATTTTTAGGGCCTTACAAGTTCCACAAATACATAAATAAAAAAAGTAAAGTAAATAAATAAACAAAAAAAGTCAAGAAATAAAAAAATAAAAAAAAAAAAAAAAAAAAAAAAAATATAAACAAAATAATGCAAACTGATTACTTTCAGTACCCTCTATTGAAATATAAAAGGAAAATGTAGGAAACAGTAAATAGAAAGTACCAAATAGCAAATAGTAAAATTAAATTTAAATCAATAAAAAAAAATTGTGCCACCAAAGAAGAAAATAATCTCACAATACGCAAGTAGCAAAATTACGTGAATACCTAGGTACCTTTCTTGATCACGTAAGATTTACAAAATAAAATAAGTATATGTATAATATCAGCGCAACTACAATTCAGGCTAACTATATCCAATTAATCAACAAATTTAATAAATTCAATATAATTTTTTTTTTTTTTTTTTTTTTAATAATAATAAGTTAATAATATAATTAATTTAAATAAATAAATTCTGTAAACACAAAACTCATTTCAAAAATTAAAAAAAAAAAAAAAAAAAAAAAAAAAAAAAAACGATAAAAAAAATGAATAGAATTTAAATTTTAAATAGGAGACAAAAAGAAAACTGTGTCAGCTGGTATTAAATTAACCCCTGACGCTATCCGCCATAAATAGACGAAATGAGCCCCCGCCGCAAACGAACAACACACCACACACAGAACAAAACCAGCCGCGCATCTAACACGCGGCATGTGCCCGAGACAATACCGAGACGCACTTGTAATAGTATTACTTTTTTTATAGAAGTAAAAAAAAAAAAAAAAAAAAATCAATTAATAAAATATATCCCAAATTTAATTTAAAGTAATGCTACATTTTCATATAATTCTCTTAAAACGTTTACATGTCTTGTATTTATCATTTAGTTGTTTTTTCATAGATATTTTAGTACAATTCTTCTTAAACCACCACTTTCGTTATTTAATAATAATTATTAAAATTGTACCATGCTATTTACCATCATCACAGTCCATCATGATTAAATATAGTCATTAGTTAATAATATACGACTGTGTTTTTCTTTCTCTGTACATGCCTGGCGCCACCCAATAATCCTGTATTTTTTTGTTTATTGTTATTAATTTAAGTTCTTTTAGCTTGAAATACCTTATCCACGATTGCTCTCCGATGAAAGTGGTAGTGCCTGCGAATGTTTATTAAAAAACCAGTAAAGATTTTTCCAGGAATCTCTCTCCTTATCTTTTGTACATACAGCTAAGAAGAATTACCACCGTACTCTAGCTCTTTCTGCGCACCGGTCAAAGCTCTCACCTCTACTTCTACCTCGAGAACCGTCATACACATGTGATATATATTATACTTCCAACTTGTCACTCAATCCCTCTTTCTCTCTTACTATACCTAAGCACACTTCTATAATACTCTCGTATTAACTCAATCCAAGAATACCGCAGTTACGTGAGTACTAATCGCTATTTCACTGTCTCAGCGGCCTTCTATCTCGTATCATCCCAACTTCACTATCGAAAAGAATTAGAAAAATTTTTGATCAAAATTCATCAACCAATGATTGTGGGTTAACTAAGTAAAAAATTTAATATAAAATTTTTTTTTTTTTTTTTATATATTTATTTACACATATAAACTGGACACAGAAGAAAAGACGAATTATATCCGGAACATTTATACACTTAGGGAGTAGAATAGGAAATTGAAAGTGTTGCTGTAACGAAAATCGCAATACAATAAAACAATATTAACCAGACAGTATAATATTATTTCAAGGGCGTTTATTTATCGGGAACATACAAGAAATATAAGTGCTTTCCTCAATATCCCTTCAACCGATAAATATAACCTATAAAGAGAGTATTAGTGCTCTAATATAAAAAAAACGTTTTTTTTGAAAATAAACAAAACCACCACTCATGCTCCACCCTAGCCTCTCTCTATAAACAAACAACAACACTCTTAAATCAATGCATGAACGGCATCGAGATGTTTATCCCGCGAAACGCTAGTCGGGAAAAAGCTACGTCACCTTATATTTAATTATTTTACGTAATGATATTTTCATTGAAAAGCGACATTTTCGTTTAATTTCGCCACTATATTAAAAACTAAAGACGAAACAATATCCCAATTTATTAAGTTTTGGCTGGTATTGTGGTGTTTATATATTTTTACAAAATCTGAAAAATTTTTAAAAAGAAAAAAAGCTTTTATATTTGTGTAGATTGACTAAAAGTTGTATAACATAAATTTCTACGACCGTGTACCTAGTGGTCTGCAGCATCGCCTTGTGGTGCAAACGTGGGCTTGTGAATCTGTGACGTGACGCAAAAACAGAAGTAAACCAGCAAGCGTGCTAAGAATTTTATAATATTAAAAAATTAAATGCTTAGATACATCTCAGTGTATTAAAGTTTTGTGTTTAAAAATGTGAAACACTTTTATTTAATTATTTAAAAATTATATCGTAAACCAGTGTAACTTTCCATGTAAGATTTCTTTATCTGTTCCTCCTTATCATGATTGTCATCATGTAACCCTGATTATTTGTTATTTATTTGTTTTTGCCTTGTTTGTCTTTCTCTCCGACTATCCTTTCACTCAAAGCAACGCGTGTGCGAATCGCCATGTCTGAGCTCACTAATCTTGTAATCACTCTAGTATGTCTATTATAGATATACGTGTACAATAATGAATGTACCGTGTGGAATGCGATCATAAGTCATATACTAATCCTTTCACCCATACAGTTTACACTCATCCTTCCATCCTAAATCTGTTGTTTTTGTTAAGTTCGTTAATTAAACATATTTCGATATACACTCATTTTAACATCATAATTCAACGTTTTTTACATCGTTTTATTATCATTTTCAATCCCCCCCCCCCCCCCGGTTGCATCTTGTAAATCATGATCTGGATTTTTTGTGGATGACTGAACAAACTAGTGTTGTCATGGTATCATTAGAACATGATGATGGGGCATCTTACAGTAGCGCAATAGAGTGACTGTAGAGATCAGGAAACTCACCTCACACAAAGTGACTCATCTCTGAGATATTTCAAAATCCGGCGACTCCATCCAGTAAGTTCACCTCGAGCAGCAATGAATCCCACGATGGTGGAAGCAGTCCCCCTAATCTCGCTATCATCTGACACCATCCCCTTCTGTCCAGCGCCCCAACCGAGTGGAAACTGTCACCGACAATGAGATTAGAGTAACTTCTGAAAGAAAATGTATTTGTAGCAGTCTCGGTCAATTTCGAGGCAGGCTAACGAGTTATTAGGGTGCGAATGGCATTTAGACATATTTCTTCAGCTACCTAAAAAAAACTTTCAGATGAACTGCTGCAATTGAGGTTCACAATAAATGATAAAAGACATTCAAGAAGATAACGTTGGTGAGCCAAAAGAAATGACCAGCAGTTCTCGTTTTGAAGTTGTACAACAGGAAGGTTTGATGATCAGCGGCTGAAGACATTGGACGTATCCGAGATTGATTCTGGCTTTACGTGAAAGTCGTCGTTATTGCCCATCGTAAAGACACTGTTCTATCGCATGCCGAACTCGCTTACCCATTCGTCCATTCCGTGACAAATGAGGACTCGTTTTATTCTCACAGGATCTGCTGTAGAGCCCCAAGGTTTTAGGAGTTTTTAGACGAAAAACAGATGCTTGGGCCCGGAAGGAGTATATTAAACATTATTTCAAACTATGTCTTGTGTGCAGGGCAGATAGTTAAGGGTGTTCAAGTCCAGAGTCCACCTCTTCCCGCAGACCGAGTTAATGATGCATCAGCTTTTCAGATCACTGGTGTGGACTCGCTGTACCTCGCATCGTTAGACAGGGAAAAAGTTGGTCTGTTTTTTCACGTGTGCCATTTTATGGAGCTGTCTACATTGGAAATAGCTAGATCATTATTCCTGATGCTCTATCACAAGTTTAAGAAATTTTGCCAAAATTAAATCAATATAGCGACAACTGAACCATTTCCTGAATTTATGTGTATTTTTGAATACTGAAAAAGGCTGGAATCGAGAGAAGGTTTGAAAAACTTCGCTTAGTATTGCGTGGCGCTTCAACCCCCCAACAGCTGCTTGGTGGGGCGGGTTTTGGGAGCGGCTTATAGGCATTTTAAAAGGACTGTTACGAAAAGTTCTTGGACGCGCAGCGCTTAATTATGAGGACTTACTAACCGTGGTATGCGACTTTTTGACCTCTGACATATATATCCTCGACTCTCGACCTCTGACATATATATCCGAAGACGAGAGTGAATTGGTACCGCTTACTCATGTAATGTTTACGCGCGACTTGTCAGAAGATACTTTACCTGAATGTGACTTTGTAGCTCGATCCTCATTATGCCGAAGAGTAAAACGAATGCAAAAAATTCGGGACAATTTACGGTTAAGGTTCCGTAATGAATACTTTGGGCAGCTTCGAAACATCGCGCGTGTTAAATCGCCTAGACAAATTAAGATTGGCGAAGTTGTGCTCGTCGGTAATGATAATACCAAGAGGATGGACTGGCCACTTGGTCGAACTACCAAAGTTTTACCTGGTAAAGACGGTGCTGTACGTTTAGTGCGGGTCTCTACTACGAATGGAGTGATGCTACGTCCTGTACAGAGGGTCTACGCCTTAGAAGAGACCGGGGTACCTGCTGACATCCGGAACTCAGAAGCTCAAACGGCTCCATCAGAGGCTACCAGAACCATCCAGAAGTCATCCGCGATCGGGAGTGTAAAAAGCAGAGCACTCGATTCGAAAACTAGTGATTTCTCAGACGAGGAAGCGAGTGATGTGTCTTTTCCGGTAAACGGGAGTGATCAGAGCAGAGTACCCGCCGTCCCTAAAATTACGCGTAGTGGAAGAGCGATAAAGTTACCTGTGCCGTACAGACATTATTTAAGATTATATACTTTGGTTTTGTTGTGTGAGAAACTTTAGTTTCATGGAATGTTTGAAACACACAAATATTTAACTATGTGTTATTTTTTTCTGTTTCGATAGTTTGCTGCGGAAACTTCCATTTGTTTATAAAAGTAGAAGTTTTTGAGTTCATCGCGAAAAAAGTTTGATTAATTGTAATGTTCAAGTTTTGTATTAGAAATATATCCTTCTCTCCGAATAATGTCACGGTTTTGCCTTAGCTCGCTTCCTTTAAATT